TGAAACGAGCAAATCTGTAATTAAAACTTCATTATTCTGATTCAGTGAAAAGAAAAGTTAATTTTTTTCTTGATTTTGGACTAATTTTATGAATAATTTTTTACTAATTATTAATTAAATTGTTAAAAATGACTGTTTTTCATCTTTAAGCTGTCTCTTTGAGTTGCTATTTATCAAAATATGTTTTTCTTAACATTTTTGTTATTTAACTTGCATCATTGTCAAAAAAATAAAACCGCCAATTTGATGGGATTTAAAAAGCAGAGAAGAATTATTCTAAGTCCAAAATCAAGAGAAAAATAAACTTTTTTTTCTACTGAGTTAAAATAATAAAGTTTTCATTACAGATTTTCTCGTTTCAGGTAAAGCAAAAAATGTTTTTCCTTTGCAATTTTGGGGTAAAATCCAAGATTTTTTTTTTCTCTTTTAAACTCAATCCGGGGACAATATACAATGTTTTTGTCACTAGAAAAAAAATATAAATAAATTTTTTTTAAATCAAGGAAAAGAACTATTATAGAAATCAATAGTGTTTGAAATTCTTTATGATTTTTGACCAATATGTACTTTCTCTTCTCTTCTTAAACTTGACAAATACGAGTATTTTTTTCTTTAATCTCATTTTATTATTTATTATTTTTGCATCTTCGAAATAGTCATAGACAATGTTTAAAAAAATTACTTTATTTGAGTTTAAAAAAATATGGATTTTTATTTTATTATCTAAAAACAATTTTCTGTCCCTTTGAGAAAATTTTATAAAAATTGTATTTTTCCACAATAATGTATGAAGTGAACTTTCACACATCGAAATTAAAAGTTAGCCATTTTTTACTCATTTCACACACTGATAGAAACATTACGGTTAAATTTTTAAATATTTTAAATAATTAATAAAATATTGTAGAAAAAAAATATGTTATGTGTGCGAAACTGTTCTTTAAAGTTCAATTGCCTTTTTGTTCTGGCGTTTCACAGATTTAATATAAAAAAGGCAGTACCTCCGCTGCCGGCAAAGAATATTCAAGCTTTTGCCGCTAATTTTACTTTTTTTAAACTATTTTCCCAGTTTAAAATATTTTTTTAAACAACACCCATAATAATTTTTAAGAACTAACTCTGGAGATCATCAGCGACTAAAACGCTCTATATTTTTCAGAATTATAACAAGTATCAACATTCACAGAATGTATATTAAATTATGTTTGTTACCTATTAAACTTAAACTGATTCACAAATTGCTCAAAGTTTATTATTATTTATTAGGGTACATATTATTGTAATGTCATGGAAATTGTTTCTTTAATAAAAGCTTTTAAAAATGATTTGCTAACGACTATTAAATTCTTCGCCGGCAGTGGAGGCACTACTTAAAAAAAAACGATTTTTAGAAAAACACTGTTTTAGCCACTAAAACAGTAACAAAAAATAAAGATACCTAATAGTTAATTAGAAAATCACTTAAAAAATCATTTTTATTAGTTTCGCATGATTTTTTTCAATATCCTACAGAAGCCTAATTTCTCCACTTTCCCTTGATTTACTATTTAATTAGTGATAAGAAATTGGCAATAATCCATGCCCCAATTCACATCCACCCCATAATCGTTTGACTTTGCGTCGCAAAGACCCCATTAACGACTCGTTAAGGGTAAAGAATCACTCTATTAAAATTAGAAATGTCAAACGATCGAAAATATGTGACAAATCAAAGGGCTTAATTCCGTGAGAGCAAATTACCTAATCAAAATTACGTTCGTTTAATTATTTATTCTTGACTTTATATCGACGCAAATTCCCTTTTTGTTAAAGAAGTAAAACGATGGATTTATGTACGTGTCTAGTGGATGTGTAATTAACCAATGGAAATAAACCCGAGAGGCGTTAATGAAGATCACACGTGTCCTAACAAACAATGAACGTGATTAAGTGCAGATTTTCAACAAGGAAGTAATTTACTATAGTTTAAGCCGGACCAGAAGTATCACGTGATCAGGACACCATTGTCCAGTGACAGGGAATTAACCAATTTTTTTCCGTGTTAAAAACTTCAATTTCGGAAGGGTAATTAAACACACCCTTTGAATAAAATTACAAAATCACATGATTTATGGATTAAGCAAGCCCTTGTTTAAGAAAGATAAATCGTGTGAAAGTGTGTTTGAGATTTAAATAGAATTTATTGTTTTCAAACTCACTGAAATTTTTTTTCAAGATGATACCACCTATTAAAACTGAGAACAAGGTAATTAAAGTTTAGTTTCATTAACTTGAGACGAGGGAAATGTTTTAATGAGCCTTAAACGATATTGTATTACAAAATGTAACAAGATATCTCAAATATTAACTTCCTTATTTTTTTGGATTTGAATCTTCCTATTCAAAAATCGATATCTCTACCATTTTTTATTATGTTGAAACTGTATTTCTTTGGTGTATTTATAATTGGAAAAATAATTAACAAACCGCCAAAATGTAAGGTTACGTTTAGGAAACTTCAAATATCCTTAACTCAATTTTTCTAAATGAAACACCCCAATTTTTTCTTCACTAAATGGAAGAGAATTTAGTTCTGTTTCGATCTGTATTAACATTGCCTATACCTATGTTTGATAGTTTTCAAGTTATAGTAACTTTTGTTGATATTGTGAAAAATTTATTAGCTACTTTAGCATAGGTTTTCATAGAAATAAGAAAAAAATAGAATATCAAAATTATTCAAATTTAGATTAAATAAATTTAATTTGATTTACGAAAAGAATATCACAATTGTGAAAAAAAATGGCGTTTTTTCAGTGAGAAATATTTCCAATGCAAACTATGCGAAAACTACCATTGATAGTAACGAATTTCTTCAATTGTAAAAAAAATAAAATAACTTGGAAATCATTAAATTTAGGTATAGGGAATGTTAATACAGATCGATGCAGAATTAAATTCTCTTTCATTTAGTAAAGAAAAAATTGGGGCTTTCCATTTGAAAAAATTCAGTTACGGGTATTTGAAGTT